ACTATGTGGGGACCGTGTCTCGGATTGGATTTTGATTTTGGGATAACCGGATGATAATGAGAGTTTCATTTTGCATGTTCATTAATTTTGGCCCGTTCGATATATCTCTTCGAACTACTTGTTGTTTTGTTTGCTTGAGGACAAGCAAAGAGTTAAGTGTGGGGGAGTATACGCGCGGTGTGTCAGAGTACGGACGGGCAGCTGGGGCAGCCAGCTCACCAAGTTCGGGTAGCTCTTAGGTCAGGTATCTCACCCCTATATAAAGAGAGGTGAGCCTTTCTTCCTTAACACGATTTTCCATTATTCAACTCAAGTATACTCATACACATACTTACTTAAGCATCGGACGCTCTTCACCAGAAAAAACCCCCGGTGTGAGAGTTATTTGCAGGTTTCCAGCGTTCTACCGGCGAGCACAAAGGCGATATATTCCAAATCGGGCTAGGACGCTCACACTTGCATTACTGGCACCGTCTGTGGGACTTTTGTTCGGAAAGTTGTGTTTGAAGCTCAGTTATGGCGGACGGAATTCCCAGAACCAATTTGCAGTCGACGTTCGATGACGCTTGGACGACGACCAGGCCATTGGGGCAGGACCCTCCTCCGGGTTTCTCTGGCCCTTCGCAGACGTCGGTTACTCCTACACTTTTATAATAAATATACTTTTATAATAATAAATAATAAATTATTTAAGCTATTAAAGTTAATTTGATGTACAATTATATCTACTAAAAAATAGTTTTCAAAAACACATTTATATGCGGTCATATAAAAGTAATGCACTTTATATAACAACACGTTGCACATTATAAAACAAAATGTTGCACTTTATAAAACAACAAGTTGCAATTTATCACACACTACAAAATTAATGTCAACAGCTCCTATCAAAAGATTACGCAAGATAAATTTACAAAAACATATCTACATAATAATTTAATATCCACCACATAACCTATACACAAAAAACACAAACATGCTAACTTACCAAACTTTCAGTATTGCACTTTATATATCGACACGTTGCACTTTATAAACCAATATGTTGCATTTTATCACTACACTCAATAACTAGCATCAATAGCTTCACACCAAAAATTTCCACTCAACATAAATCTAAAAAACGAATTTACGTAATACTTTAACATCAATCGCATCATTTATCCACACGAATCACAAACATGCCAACGTACCAAAAAAATCAGTAGTTTACTTATACATCGACATGATGCACTTTATAAACAACACGTCGTACTTTAGAAAACATCACGATGCACTTTATCACGACTATCAAAGTGTACAGTAAAGATCGAAACCAACCGAACTCAAAATTCTTCAACCAAACATAATATAAAAATAATAAATAAAATTATTAACATACTAATTATAATTTTAATATGAACAACAAACTATTTCAATAATTTAAGGTAATTCGCTTATGTCGTACAAATCAAGTAATTATGTTCAACTTCATTTGATTGTGACAAATCTGGAGTTCAATATGCACAATACCATCGACCGACACTGCACACCATAGTGATATACGAATTGCACATTAATAACTGACACATTGCACATTATATGTTGTTTACATATGCCTTATTATTTTTTTAAACGAACATAATGTGAAGTATTGATAAAAAATATTAAAATACTAAATATATTTTTTATAATACTAATAATAATAATTTATTTTGTTATACCGGTTAACTGTTATGTCGGTTCAGTATTAGATTGTATTGGGACAAGAGTTCGGTAAGTTCGCTTGTTCGAATTTCAACATGAATATATCAATTTTGACATCTCAATCGATCATCGACGAGACCAACTAATGAATAACCTAAACGAATTGGCTTTTTGATAAATTTGTGAACTTTCATATGTATGGGCATCAATAAATTTATGATTTCAATAAAAATATGGTGTTCTGTTTTAATGTGTAATTTCTTACACAAATGTGCACTATCTTATACGTAATGTGCAATTTATGTAACATTGTTGTTGAAGTACTAAATTTTTATTATATTACATATTGACCATAAACTAAATTAAAATATAATAAGATTTTACAATTTGCAATAAAAGTCCCTAAATTATATCAATTTCTCATTAAAAAAACCCACAATCTTAAAAGTTGAACACCACAAATTACGTCTGTCGGAGTTCACTCAGGCCGGTTTCGTCAACGCCGCCACCTCCGTACTCGCCGCCAAAGTCCCGCTCAACCCGACGTCGTCCTCAATAAAAAAAATGAAAAATGAAAAATTAATCCACTGCACAAGTCACCGCCGCCGCCGTCCATTCTCCTTCGCCGTCCTCTTGCAGCCACCATCGCCCGTCAATCGACGTCTTGCATACCAACACCATCACCCAAACACACACACACACACATACGAGTTGGATATCACATATGGCAGGCTGGTTTGGTTTGTTGGCGACGACGGCGAGGAGGAAGGGGTTGTGTGTTGCGGGGGAATTCTGAGTCGCAGACATCTACAGTCACGACGGAGACAGAGTTGGTGGTTGTATGTCGGAGACGGCTGGGAGAAGCCGCGTGCGGCGAACCTATATAAGTGACGGGCTAGTTTCCGTCGTTGGTCGCGTGCGTCTCCAGCGATGGGCTGCAGAGGCGCTGCGGCGATGTTCCGCCGCTGAGGAGGTGTCGTCGTTTTCTCTGTGTATGGAGAAGTATGTGTGTGTGTGTGTGTGTGTGTGTGTGTGTGTGTGTGTGTGTGAGAGAGAGAGAGAGAGAGAGAGAGAGAGAGAGAGAGAGTTTGTGTGTGTGGGTGGGTGGATGAATAATGTGAGTGACGGTAGGTGGGACCGTGGGAGGGGTATAGGGTTAATGTGTGAGGTGGTGGTCTCCCACGGTATATTTGATACAAATGTCTAAATTATCCTTAAATAGTAGTAAAATCTATATATTTGACTATCATATATCTACTTATTTACTATATCGCCATTAATGATTGACCACTATTTATTAAAAAAGTTGACTTGATCATGACCATTGGTATGATATATCCGATGGTCCATATTTATTCTTTTTCTTTACTATCTACCATTCTCATATGATCCTAACTATATATATATATATATATATATATATATATATATATATATATATAGAGAGAGAGAGAGAGAGAGAGAGAGAGAGAGAGAGAGAATAACCATTTACTAAAAATAGTAGTAAAAAAATATTGGAACATTAAATGCACACCTTCTTTGGAAACTTTTAAAATATATACATTAATTCCTTCCATATACACAATTCTAAATCATATACGATAAAAAATGTTCTTTCCTTTAATAATTAATTAAAATCTAAAATAATTTCAATGATATGCATTATAATAAAAAATAACTTTAATTTTTCGTGATTCATATTGATTATTCTATTGTCAAGATAGACATAAAAATATATTTTAAATTCTAAGCATATTTTTTTTTTTCACATATATTGACTTTTCATCCTAAAATATTTATGAATAATTATAACATGTTAAGTAATTTTTTCTTCATCTATATTTCATTATGAACAAGACTGTTATTAGACAAATGAAAATGATAAATTTAATATTTATGTCTCGTGTATCACACGAGCTACTTAACGGACAAATTTTATGGAAATGACTCATTTAACATCTGTTTCTCGTGTATTGCACAGACTACGTACTCGTTACTATTTCTTTATTAAAACTTTTTTGACAATGATTGTGTTATATTTTTAATATTGTTTATATTTTTTATTGTCTTTTTCCTCTATGATATAGCTTTTTTTTTTTTGGTACAATGGAAGGAGGCCGGAGCCTAGCTCCTCTAGATAGTCATGTGTTAACCACAGTTTGACTTCTGTCGGTGGATCGAGCAGTCGCTAACAATCATTGGGGCATGAGTGGGCTAGCGTCGTCAGGCTATCCGCAGCAAAATTAGCTTCTCGATAACAGTGCGCAATATGCACTGTCCAGTCTCGATGCATCATCTCTCGAATGGCTCTAACAATCGTGCCATGCAC